CGTTCAATTATTTCCTATTTGTCCAGTATATAGCTTACATGGTAGCTATTTGTTTGCATACCGTCTCCCCCGTTAGATTTTTAAGCTCCTTGAGGTCAGGGACTCTCTTTTGCCTCTTTTTGTATCCCCAGCACTGAGCATAGTGCCTGACACTTAGTAGGCTCTTAATAAATGTTTATTGATTGTTTGAAGGATATTTACCCTGGGAAAAGAAATCTCACGGATCCCATGGTGGCTGTCTTCAGGCACCTAGAGGGCTGCCACATGAAGAAGATGCTGGATCTGTTCTGCTTGGTCTCAGAGGGTAGACAAAGATACAAAGGGCAGAACATACAGAGAGGCAGATTTAGGTCCAGGTTAGGGGAAACTTCCTAAAACTGAATGATGTCCAAAAGTTAAACGGGCCTTAGAAAACTATTAGTATAACGACTGGTGATGGTTTCTCATCATTAGAGGTCTTCAAGCAGAGGCTGAACAAGGACTTATTTGTTTAGGATACTGAGAAGGGAATTTTTGTTTAGATCTAATCTCGATCAGGTGAACTTAACCAAATGTGGCCTTCTCCAAGTTTCCATGATCTTATGCTTTGTCCTGGGTCACACAAAAGGTTAATGTTAGAGGCAAAACAAGAACCTCCTAATTCCTACTGCTCTTAAGAAAGCAAGGTACAGATGGGTAGACTGGTGGGTCTCAAATCAATTGTGCCAGTGGCAGTGGGCACAAAAATTGATTTGCATATGGCAAGAAGCTCTGAACTAAGAAAGGACCCATCAACTTGTGTTATTCCCAGCACTTAGCACAGTGCCTCCCACATGTTGTTGTTGTTGTTGATGATGATGATGATGAGACATCTTCCAGTCCTGTCCAACTCTTTGTGACGCCATTTGGAGTTTTCTTGGCAAAGATATGAAAGTAGTTTGCCATTTCCTTCTCTGGCTCATTTTACAGATGAGGAAACTGAGGTAAACAAGGTTAAGTGACTTGCCCAGCCAGGATCACACAGCTAGGAAGTATCTGAGGCCAGATTTGAACTCAAGAAGAGAAGTCTTCCTGACTCCTGGCCTGGCACTCTATCTACTGTGCCACCTAGCTGTCCCTCTGTGACTTAGTAGGTGCTTAATAAATGTTTACTATTATCTCTTTGGAATCTTCTGAAGAAGAGTTTTTTTTCCTAGTACCAAATGGTTCATCTCCTGAAAGTCAGAGATAATGTTAACACTACAGGCTGAAAATTTCTGGGATCACCTTCAGACCCTGAGTGAGAAGCTCCTGACTGAGGGAAGCTCACAGAGCTTACCTTGGCCAAGCTCAACTCACAGATACAGCTCATTAGAATAAGATGGCCAAAGCCAGACTCAGATGAATAACAATCACCAGTCTTAGGCCTGTAAAACAGATGACAAAACCTACTTTCCTCCTTCAAACAGAGATTTAAGGTGCATAACATTGCATATGCTGTCAGACAGTCATTCTGTTTACATGCAACTTTTTCTGTTATAAGGGAGAATTCAATGGAGAGAGGAGGGGATTTGGGGATATGAATGAGGTACAAATGACAAAAGGAATATATAAAGACTTTGGGGAAGAAAGAAAAAAAAAGCTAACCAAGCAATAAAAGTCGTAAGACAGAAGTCTGAGAGTTCCAAGTAGGTTACCAAGCAGAAGTCCAACAGCCTTCTGAGTTATTCCCAGTCTATTCCTTCCCCAAATCTAGAGCACAACATGCACCAAAATCTCTGAGAAGTAAAACAGGGAACAAAGATCTAGATTCAAGGCCCGTCTCTTTGCTTTATTTATTCTGTATATACTTATATATGTCCTTGCTATCTCTCCTCTTAAATAGCAAGCTCCTTGTGAGTAGGGATTGTCTCATTCTGTGTATCTGTACTTCCAGAGCTCTGTGTAGTGCCTGGCACATAGCAGGGACTAGCTGATGGATTCCTTGCTTACTTCTGATCTTCCTGTTGAGCAACATTTGACTTCTGGGGTGGTTGTCAGGGTCCTTATTTCTGTCTGTAAACGGAATCTCTAGGTTTTATGAGGTTGTCCTGCCTCTCTTTCCCTCTGAGAGCACATACCAGTATGCTACTGGATATGCTGCTACTGGCGGCTACCTCAGTGATTACAACATTGAGTAGAACACTCTGGGACTTTGGTTTACAAATAAGCAATAGAAGCAGGTTAGGTTCTTGGAAAAATTCCTCTGTCAGGCTAACATATCAACCATAAAACAAAACGAAGGAAGATAAATGCCACCACTCCCCCTGCCCCCCCCCAACAAAAGCTCTAAACAAAACTGTCTCCCTCGAATGTTTCTAACCATTTTTCCAGTAGTGTTACTGTATTAGTAGAAAGACACACCCCTATTCTCCACCTCGGCTTGCCTCTGAAAAAGCAGAGAGACTGGGAAACAGCCAGCAGTCACAAAATATACTGATCCTCTCTGCCTGTCAGGTTACTTAATGGCAATAATCACATGTGGAGTTAGCATGATGAGCAGTTGGGAGGAAGGAAGGAAGTCAGCTTGGCCCAGGACTAAGAGAACCTGGGTCCTTCTGTCACTTTTGCCAATGACTTATGTAACTTTAGATAACTCTTTTCATATACATGGCATTCATTTTCTCTATCTGTAAGATGAATTTTTAAAAATTAAAAAAAAAAAACCTGACCATTCCTACCTTAAGAGGATGTAGCACATGCTTTAAGCTCTTTGGATAAAAAGGGGAAAAAAAGGTGCTCTGTACCCTACAGGGTTACAGCATTTTATCTGCTGTTTCATATTTTTACAGCAATAAGTTACTCTGTACATGTTGTGCTAGAAACACAAATGTTAACAGCACCCAGCTGTGCCTTACATTAGGAAACACCTGAAACATATCTGTCAGATTCAGATTCGCATCATGCATGTGTTCTGAATCTACTCTGCATTCAGAAGCTGGTCTCTTGTGAAACCGATAGCTGTGTCAGCCACAGAGAGGCCTGCGTTTCATCCACAAGTGGTTATAAAGGAGTTTAATTGCTGGGTTCATCCTCTGGTTCCTCAGATATCCTTGAAATATCTGTCTTCTGGCCTTTCTTCAGGGGAAGGTCAGCTGGTGAGAGCTGGAAACTTTATTAGAGTTGTGTTTAAAAAAAAAAAAAAGAGGTTTTAAGCTGTCCTGCTAGAAATACAAAAATTGGTGTAGTTTTGTACATTTTGTCTGACATATAGTATGTACAAATAAATGCTTGTAGATTATGTTTGGATTTGAGCTTTTCAGACAACTGGAATGTATCTGATACATAAAGCCTCGAAATTTCAATTTAATTACAGACGTACTTATCTTTAAATCATTGCCCTTTGCATCTCTGAAACTGCCCACAAACCTTACTGTCTCTTTGAATGGACCCTAAAGGTACATGTGCTGGTAAAAATGCCTTGATTAGTTTTTACGACACAACTACACCAGCCAATTAAGCCTGTAACTTTCCCCTTTCCCTCTCTCCCAATACATGGCACCCAGACACTACTGGCATTTCAGTTATGAAATTCCAGGTGAATTTTAGAAATGGTCACCCTGAACATTTACAAACTACATTGTATGAAATGTCTTTTCCTCCCCTTCTGGTCCCCCTATACAAAGCATATTTGGGACCTTCTAGGGGAAGCAAGTCTAAGAGGGGTCCCAAAGGTGTGGGAAAGGGAGTGTTTGGAGCTGTTTACAAGCTTAGTGTATGAGGCTGATGAACTTGAACACTGCATGTGTTCTGTGAGAGCCAACAACTCTCAACGCAAGTCTCTTTGGACAGTATTAGCATGAACTAATACTACCAGTATTACTGGTATATACAAAGCTGGAAGCCATAGCCTTGCTAAGCTGTTGCCTAGAAGGAAAACAAACAAAATTAATCATGCACAGCTTTTTTTTTTTAAATTTTTAGGCAACTGGGGTTAAGTGACTTGCCCAGGGTCACAAAGCTAGTAAGTGTCAAGTGTTTGGTTTGAGGCTGGATTTGAATTCAGGGCAGAGCCAGTGCTCTATCCGCTGCGCCACCTAGCTGTCCCTTACACAGCTTTTTTTTCCCCGGTTGGGCATACTTAGCTATGGGGAACTATATTAGTAGGGAACTATATTAGTGAGTTGGTATTATTGGATACCATTGCACAGAGCTATCTCATGATGTTATCATATAAAGGAAGTATGGTGTGGTAGAGCATTGGACCTGGAGTCAGGAGACCTGGGTTCATGCTCCACTTATGACACTTTCTAGCTAATTGACTTTGGACAGCTTCCCTAGGCCTCAAACTCCTTTTATGAAAAATAGGGATAACATGATTCCAACTTGTCTCAAAATGCTGTTTTGAGGAAATTTCTTTGTAAACCTTAAAGCGCCATAGAGATTTAAATTATTATGATTTGAGATGAAAGAAACTGTCAGAACTGTTCCTCTAAGTTATAAATTTTCCCCACTGCTTCCAATGAACCAACTTAAGCCCTTCTTTAGCCCTGTGTTCTGGTGTTTGTCTGAGAAGCTTACAGTGCCACACCTTGTTTAGGATGATGGTCCTGAATCTTTCGTTTTGGAGGACCACACACTGCTACAGAAGGATGAGGTAGCTAAAACTGTAAAACAGGGTGGCAGAGTGCAGGAGGGGAGGGCCTGCTTTGTGTCCAGCACTATGGTGGGCCCTATGGCAGCTAAAGGATAGGAAGCAGCCTTTCTTCTCAAGGAGATCACAATCTAGTATAGCTCTCTTTCCTCTTCCCCTACTTTTACCTGTTCTCTAGTCATAAATCACTACCACCTCTGAGTTCCACTATACCTTCTATACCCCAAAACAATGCTCTCTCCGTTTAACCATTTATGTGTTTCTTCTTTGCTTCTCAAAAGCCATTGGTGGGAATCCCCATGCCTGAAGAAGCCCCTGCTGTGACGGCAGCTAAGGATTAATAGGAAGAATAACCAGACATCCACTTTGGAGCTTTGCTGATAACCTGCTCTCTTCTCCTCCATCACAGCTTCTGAGAGAAGAATCCTCCCTCCTAGGGATTCAATCTCCATCCAAGAAAAAATTGGACCCCAACATCATGGTCGTTAAAGACAGCAGGGATACTGGGGACACTCGGGTTGGGGTGCTCCTGGAGCCCTTCGTCCACCAAGTTGGGGGGCACGTAAGCATGATGAAATATGATGAACATACCATCTGCAAGCCCCTCATTTCTCAGGAACAGAGATTCTATGAGTCCCTACCCTTGGCGATGAAGCAGTTCACACCTCAGTACAAAGGTAAGATGGGGGAAGAGTTTGGCACTGGGGATGGAGGCCCCTGCCAGGCATCCTGGCTCATTCTCACATGCCCCTGCTCCTGTGGCTCTAAGACACTTCTCTCAGATGAAGTGGAAGTCAGAGTGACTTTCACTGTCCTTGACTTTTCAAACTATTTAGCTTCCCTTGAACCCCCAGCCCAAAGTCTGGAAGAATTGGTACAGGGGAATGAGTGCTGGACTTGGCCTCGGAAGGCCTGGATTTGAATCCTGGCTCTGCTGTTTATTAAATCTGTGACCTAATAATTACTAAAGCTCCCTGAGCTGATTTCCTCACCTATAAAAAGAGCTAGTTGGAATAGGTGATCACTCAGGTTCCTTCTAGTTGGTTCCAAATCTTACGATCCTATAAATCAGGCCAAGGAAACTGGAAATCAAATTAAAATGGAAAATCTACCCTATAACACCAGCTCTGAATATCTTAGACCATAATTGGTAGGGCACTTGTGACTGTGGCCTGCTAAATTTTTTGACAGGTTTCTTTATTATTTTAACATCACTTTAATAAACCTAATCTGTAGGCTGAAACTCCTTGTAGTTTCAAGACAGGAGCTCAAGCCCTAATGAGAGCTGTAAAAAAGTTGAGAAACAGACTGTTCAGGAAAAGGGAACATGAGAGAGCATTCAGCTTCCTGCCTTCCTTTGGGAGTGAGGGAAATACACACAGTCGAAGCCTGGATCGGACAGCCTGGAAGCTTAAGCTTGAAGCAAAACCTGTTAAATATCTGAGTGTGTTATAGAATTTTCATCTTTGAGGAGAGCTGGTCAAGAACAACAAGGCCTCCTTACACTTAACGGTGGGCACATGTCAGGATCCCTCTTAGGACATGACCAAAGTTCAGCTGGGAATTCATTGAGCCTGTTCCCATTCCTGACCTTTGCTTAATTAGGCTCAAAGGCTTTCAGCACACAATTCGGCAAATGTCCAAGGAATTGAGAAGTGACAGGTGTAGTAAAACCCAAGCAGATTTGTACAAAGAAGTGTTTCAGGGTGTGTGTGTGTGTGTGTGTGTGTGTGTGTGTGTGTGTGTGTGTGAAAATTATTGGGTTTCATTACCAAGCCAAATGGCAAAGCAAAGGGGTCAACAGAGACAATTACGATATCTGAATAATATAGACAAAAACCTACCCTGGCTTCAGTTATTCCACTTAATTGGGAAAACAGCAGGTTTAGGTCTGAATCAATTACATAATTTGGCCTACATATTTATTCAGCCACATAACTGTATAAAACATACAAAAATGGTAGTCTTATGTTGAGGTAGCTGGTGATGCAGTAGATAGAGCATGAGCATCCAGAGTCAGGAAGACCTGCCTCCAAATCCTTTCTCAGACATTTATTAGTCGTGTGACCCTGGGCAAATCACTTAATTTCTGATTGCCTCCATTTCCTCAACTGTAAAATGAGTATAATAATAGCACCTACCTCCCAGGGTTGTTGCAAGATAATATTTGTAAAAGTGCTTATTAGCACAATGCCTGGCATATAAAAAGGTATAATAAATGTAGGCTCTGAATAAATGTTTATTCCCTTCTCCTTCCCTTAAATCTTGGTTCTAATGAGTTAGGCAAAACCAATGTACAGATACAATCAATAATTTCAAGAAGCTGGAAGAGATAGTTAGATTAAGCAGGCCCCTAAGCTTTGGTCTCCTCTGATATGGTCTGGGGTGGGGGGGGGCACCTTCCTATATTTGCAAAATGAATTGTGGGTCACTGATCATGTAGTAAGAATCTAGCCAGAATGGGCATACAAGAACAGCTTTCAGGAGAGCAGCTAGACCAGGATCATTTCAGGCTCTATTCAGAACAACACCATCACCAACACAGCCTGCCAGCCCCAGGGACAACAGTGCCACAGGCCAAAGTTGCTGTCCCACATACCCTACTGCTCTACTGCTCCTCACCCTCCTTAACTCCCATATCTCTCTCCACACAGCACGCCCTGCTCTCCCCTACATCAAAATATACCTGTCCTTATATCTTGATCCCTCAGGGAGCTGCTAAATGAGAACAAGTCAATCTAAGAACCTAGTCTAAGCTAAGAGGTTGATAGCTCAATACATCACCCTCCTAGATGATATCGTGTTTTATGAGCTGCCTAGAATTCCACAAGTGAAAAGAATGAGTGATATGGGAATATCAGGCACATATCCAAGGCCAATAGAGATGAGATTTAGGGGACAAGGGATGCCTTTTGGAACCCCCAAACCATACTACATAAATGACCCTCTTTTCAACCGTCAGCCCATCCCTAAAAAAAAAAAACCATTGTCACAAACCCCAGTTTTAATAATGACTTGCTAACCAGAAAGTAATGTTTAGTGTGCCACTGTCCAAGCAAAGTGACAAGAACATGATGCTAGAAAAATTAGGTTCTGAAAGTTTTTATCATCTAAGCAGGAAGGAGTCCCAAGACCTACAAGGTCACAGATGCTCTGGGATGGCAGAAGGGAGACATGCATGGGCTGGGAGGCACTTCTTATATGGGAAAATATCACCAAAGGTATAATTTTCTAAAGTGATGTTAGACCCTGCAAGCTACTTTGTCTCATCCCCCACCCCACCCCCAAAAGGCAACTAAGGAAATTGAAAAAAATTAGAGCTAAAAAGGACCTTAGAGACCATTTAGTCCAAATCTCTCATCTTACATACGGAATTGAGGAAGCCCAAAGTAACACAAAGTAACAAATCAGGACTTTAAACCCAAGACGTCTCACTTCAAATCCAATGCTCCCTCCACTGTACCCCTACAACATGTTAGAGACAACGCCAGTACTAGGACCCTAGGCTCCCAACTCCCAATCTGGGACACTCTCCACTACACCATAAAACTCTATGCACATTTTCCCTACTGTGGAAGAAAAGTTCCTGAGTTGACCAGTCACAATGCCAGAGAATACAAGACCTCTATTTTCATCACCCTGCAAGTTGAATCAGGACAGAAAGAATTTTAGGCAGGGAAGAGATTCCACTGGGCAGTCAACATGTTAGGGCTTGTCAGTGAAGAGGGTATTGCAAAAACATTCCCAAAGATATGTAGTAAAGGGGAATGGAATGTAGGGGCAGGGAGGAAAGAAGGGAGAGAAGTGAGGAGGAGAGAAGAAACCCAGCTATCCTTATTTGACTTTTAGCTACACCCTGTCAGGCAGGTCCAATGTCCTTGAGGCACCAGCAGTCTCTATATAGTGTCTGATTCTGAATTGACCAGGATATTAAGGACATACTCCTAGTCCCAGTTGGTTAACAGCTTAACCGGACTCATATTGCAGAAGGCAGCAAGCAAATGCACTCATAAATTTAAAAATAAATACATGACGGAATACTCAGTGAGACTCAGCCTGCTATGCAGCCAAACAAAAATTGCTAGGATGCTTTGGGAATGTCAATTGTCTCTCTAAATATTCACCGTCTGCCCAGCTGGCATTGTCTGTGGGGTCAAGATGTTTTCAGAAGGCTGGTGCTGGAAAGCACTTTACTGTCTACTGGAATCTGTTCTTCCCAGGGCAGGTAAATTTTACTGGCCCTAGGCTCAGAAGACCTAATTTGCATGGGCAGCAAGACAAATATTGGCAGTCCCACGTGGTAGTTCACCAAGATGGGGCAAAGGGTATCAATAGCAGTGATTTTGGGCTGAATGAATCAAATTCAATGAAGCAGTTTGAATCCAGTTGACATGTTGCTTTATAATACAGCAAACTCTAAATTAACTACAAGTGGCTTATATGTTTTGTGGACTAGCCTCCCTTCCACTACCCAGCTAGGTCTCTGGCTAAAGCCAGGGAGATTGAGCTATCAAGCTCAATTCAAATCCATTCAATTCAATAAACATTTATTAAACACCTAGTTTGTGCAGAGCACAGTGCAAGAAAGTAGAGGAAATACAAAGTTTAGATAAACACATTCCTTTCCCTCATGAAACTCAGTCTAATAGATATAGTTACACATACATACATATATACATAGATACGTACACATATCATGTACGCATGACAGTGTACTTTAGAGGAGTGCAAAACAAAACTGCTACGTGAAGCCAAAGTGCAAGGTCAGTAAAAGGAGGAATCAGGAAAGACTTATAAGACTGTAGATTTAGAGTTCATCTCATTTTTAAAATGACGAAACTGAGGCCCAGGGAGGTAAACTGATCTGACCAAATTCCCACAGACTGAGTCAGAGGCAAGTCCCCCAACTCCAAAGCCAGTCCTCTTTCCATTAAACTACACTTACCCCAGGAAAGAAGCAGTTTTCGAGGTGGGCTTTAAAGGACAAAAGGAGTTTAGAGGGAGGTCCAGGCATAAGGAGCAGCATGAACAAGGCAAGGAGGTAGGAAAGTGCAGGGTGTCTAGAAGGGGCTGGGTAGCTCAATTTGGCCATAGGCAAGGGAAGTACCACCAGATAAGGCTAGAAAAGGGGTTGGGTTGAGTACAGAGGGAGGGGTTGTGTGGGTGTGTGTGGGAGAAAGGGGGAGAGAGAGAGAGCTTTGACTGTTTCCCAAAGGAAACAGATATGATTTCTAGATAATCCATTATTTGGGATTATTTGCATTTCTGATCCCCGGCCTAGAGCCAGAAATTGAAAGTTGACAATATTAGGCAATAAATGAGACTTGGAGAAGTCCAAGGTAGCATTGGAGTCTTTCTTTGGGACCTTCTGATTATACATTTCCTTCAGATTATGGATCTTCATGGGACAATCATTGCTGAGGTGAAATTGATAGGGACTACTATAAGGTAGCTCACAGCTCGGCCAAATCTGAATCGGTGTTTCGTTCACCTCCAAGGCTCCTCTTACTCCTGGTTAGACACCTGGGAGCTCCCTTGCTATACTC